TTATTGCAAATTACCTGGAAGTTCTGTTCTAGAGGTTCTGTAAACTCTCTGAGATTGTAGTGTTTGTGGTTTTTCCCTCTCTTTCTGGTAATCTGAATCTACATTCTACACACAGTCTGTGGCCATATGTGGTTTACCAGCCATTTTTGCTGAGCACACTGATGTGATCTCGCTTCTTAAAGCAGCATTGTCATGCCGAACTTACCTTTCTTTAATCAATTCCTCTAATCTCCCTCTGTCAGGATCTGTTCTTCAATTCTTCCTGTCTGCTCTAGTTTTCTTTAAAACATAAAACAAAGTAGGGACCATTTGTCTTATGGAGGATTCCTACGCCTGACCAGCTATGACCAGCAGAGGCGCAAAGTGTGCTCCGTTTCCTGTGGTCATAGAAATTTTCCCACAATTCACAACTTTCCTCCCTGTTCCCACGATGCTTCCTGTCCGTATTCCCAAACGTCCTGTCATTTAGACAGAACGCCAGCGACCCTACTGAAATGCGCCCTAACAGAATGAGAACAGTTTCTTCATTTTGTGTTAGGACGCAATTTGGGACTTTGTTCGGATCGGAATTTCATTCTAATGAATGAAACTCCGATTTTATTCGTGCCAAGGTATTAGGGCGCTGTCTACCAAAAGGCTGAAAGACCTAAATTGCAGGGCGTGGGAAGGCTTTATAAGTCTTTCCCCGCCCTGTGGAGCTCAGTCTGCATGGTGCCCTCGCTTGGTGAAGATGGGATTTTTTTAATTTATTTTTTGCATCTGTTTTTTATTTTTTATTTTTTTTTGCGCTCAGGTTTATTTTTTTTTTTAACTTTTAACAGTTGTGACGTATATTATGGATTTTTATTTAGCCTTTTTTGGGACTGAAACAAAGATTTTAGAAAAAAGACAAGTGAAATGGCAAGTTATTTTTTTTTTATTATTTTTTTTTTTACAGGTATTTCATTTTCTTGTTCCCCCTTACTATTTTTAGGGTGAGGGGGGTAGGTTTTTTGTTTTTTTGGGGGCTGGAGAGGGTGAATAGGGGTCTGGGGACCCCTAGTCACCTGGGGAGTTTACATTTAGCCCCCACCTGTAGCCCATGGATGGGGGCTGGGGCGGGGGTGAAGAGGACAATAGGACCCCCACCTTCTGGAGGACCACTGGCTTCTCACTGTTTAGTAAACATGCCCCTATGGGGGTATTATGGGTGTCATATTGACCCCCATAGAGTGATGGAGGATATTAGTGGCAGGAAGCACTGCTCCCCGACGCTTCTATTTTTACATATTACAAGGAGGGAGCTGCTGCCGGTAGCTCAATCCTTGTAATAAACCAAACAAGCGAATTAAGAGGTCTTCATTCATTCGTTTGAAATTTCTATTCATTTATTCATCTTTCTGACGAATGAATGAATAGATGAAATTCCCATTCGCATTCCCAAGTGTTTAACTGGGCATGCGCGGGAATTTCACAGTGCTATCTCGTGTGGGCAGATGTCGTGTCCCACAGGGACTTCATCTACCCACACAAAGATGGTGGCGCCCAGGACCTAGGTCCGGGCATGAAATAAAAATGCAAAAATAGAAAAGATGGGGGACTTAGGGTCATTTGGGGGTAACTAAGGGGACAATTAGATGTAAGTTAGGAGGGGGGTTATAAAAAAAAGAAAACAGGATTTGGCCATGACAGTACCACTATAACAATCTACCTTAATTGTTGATCTACAGTTGTATTTAAAATTATTCAACCCACATTGAAATCTGGTTCATTGTCAAGTCACAGATTTTCAGCTGTTTGCAATGAATAAATCAAACAAAAGCAATTGAAAGAGCTAAACACAACGGATGCTTCAAGTGGTTTCCCCAAATTCAACTGAAAATTTTTATTTAATTTTTTTGGTTTTTTTCTTCATTGCAAATGGCTGAAAGACTGTAAATTTTGACAATAAACCTGGCTTTCAATGGGCATTAAAGGACCACTATAGTGCCCTGAGGGTGCCCCCTCTCTCAGGGTCCCCCTCCCGCCAGGCTGGATGGAGAGGAAGGGGTTAAACTTATCTCTTTCTCCAGTGCCGGGCGGGGGACTCTCCTCCTCCTCTCCTCCCTCTTCTCCTCCTCTTCGGCTGAATGCGCATGCGCGGCAAGAGCCGCGAGCGCACTCAGCAGTCCATAGGAAAGCATTCACAAGGACATAGGTAGGCGTGGGATATTTATGAAATTAATTTCTCTGCCAAGGCTCTATTGTGTGTTCTCTGTTGAAGGACACGAGATGACACTGTCTCGCCCAGCAGTGTGCCAATGAGTGATACAATGTATTATCTGCAGGAATTAGGGGACTGAACATGTTTAAAGAGTGAGTCCAAGCATGATAACCACAACAGCCTGTTGTTATGATGCCAGGAGTATCCTTACCATGGGGTGTGTGTGTGTGTGTGTGTATATATATATATATATATATATATATATATATATATATATATATATATATATATATATGTGTGTGTGTGTGTGTGTGCGTGTGTGTGTGTGTGTGTGTGTGTATATATATATATATATATATATATATATATATATGGCGTACACATGACCCATGGGGCCCCGGTGCAAAAATTGATCCGTGAGCCCCCGCCCCCCCCCCCGCGCTTACTCGGCGCAGGTCGGGGTCGCAACACATGGTGGCGGGCACCTGGTCGCAGGGGTTGCAGGGCTGCGACCGCAGTATGCACACACACTTAAAGGACCACTACAGACACCCAGATCACATCAG